CAGCTGTCCATCCTTCTGAAGCTGCCGCTGGAAGCGGTTTGCAGCGACTTCGACGCAATAGTCGAAGACGCGGCCTGGCGCACACAAGGCATCAGCCCGGCAGAGATACGGCAGTTCTGTGAATGGCGCAATGCTCCAGTCTTCCTGTTGGACCCGGACGGCCACGTGCTGGACAAACTCGAGCCCGCCGTGAAGGAAGCTCGAGCCCTGGCTTATGTGGCCTACAATGGACACGCCTACTTCTACAAGTCTGCCAAGGTCATTACTGGCGGCGGCCTGGACGAAACAGTGCTGTACCGACACGAGCGGCGGGAAACCCAGCAGCTCCCACCGAGGAGCGAGTGGAGGGAGTGGCAGCACGGCCAACAGCCCGAGAGCGGCATTTTCTGGACGAAGACTGATCTGACGACGATCCGTTCCCAGCTTCTTGCGGCTGGACACAGTCCTCGAGTCATGCTGAGGTCCAGCGTTGAATACTCCGCCCTGAAACTGTGCATCAAGAAGGGCGAGCCCTGCGTCATCCGACAGCTGCCTGAAGAAGTTGAAGTGCTGGAGCAATGGCTTCAGAAGCTGCCACTGGACGTGCCCTACCGCGGGCAACGCATGGCAGGCCTCGCGCACGAGGTGCTCATGCAGCTGCTCAAAGCAGAGCGTAAGCAGCCGGACACTGAAGCGAGAAAAGCAATACTGGAGCAGCAGAACTCGCTGCGCAACTCGTGCGGCGCAGAGATACAGCCGGGGACATGCGAGCTAGACCACGTGGTGCCAGTGCATCAGGCTTTCAGCGGCGACGAGCAAGTTCTGCAAGCTCTGTGCCTGGAATGTCACCGAAACAAGACGCTGCTGCAAACCATCCAGCCCACGAGCTTGGAGTCTCGCTTCAACCCTCGAGCGTGCGAGGCTTACCATGGAGCCCAAAGCTACCTCCTTTGGTGTTCCAGGTCCACGCCCCACGCAAAAGCGTGCCCTGTCTCGGCATCGACGTGGCACGGTGTTGGAAGAACGGGCTGGCCAACGCGAGCTTCCCGCTGCCCATCTTCGGCAGCCTGGATGATGTGAGAGAGGCGCAGCCGGGACACCTAGCCGACCTGACCTACGTGAGTCTGCGCGTAGACGGCCGCGCGACAACCTACTCACAATTGCCCTACGTGGGCGAAGGCTGGTACGCCAAACCTATTACCGCATTCACGCTTGAGTGCTTCCACAAGGCACTTGACCTCATGGAGCGGGCTTGGCCTGACGGGGAAGAGCATTACGCGAAGCTTTCCGTGAATGCGCTGATCGGCCTCTGGGCTCGCAACATGGACGTGGTGTACACCGTACGAAGCAGCCAAAACGAGCTCGATGGCTACGGGTGCCAGGAGCGGCGCGTGTTCAGCGTCTTCGCGTCAGACCTGCAACCGGCAGAGGAGAAGCCTGAAACGGCCCAGAAGCAAATAGCTGAACAGCCGCTTGCAGAGTACTGGGATTTCGCGTTCATCCGCAATCTGATGAGCAATGCCAGCCACAAGCCGCTGCACGACTTTGTGATGGCGGCTGAATACGTGGCCGTGGCCAGGATCAAGCATCAGCTGCGGGCCGCGCTACCTTCCTACATCAAATGCGTCAAAACCGATTGCGTGGTGGTCCAGCAGCTGCCGAAGAAGCACCAGCACCTGCTGCAAGAGCTTCAAGACCTGAAGCACCCCGACGGAAGCCAAGTCTACCGGGTCGAGGAGGTCAAGCCCCTGCAAGGGTATTACAGAGAGCCACAGCTCCCTGAGCACGCCATGCCCCCCGAGCTGGAGTGGACCGACATCCCCGACCCCTTGACGCATTGTCTGGCAGGAGGCTCACTGCTGCTCACCGGTTTACCGGGGACTGGCAAGACCCACTTAGCTCGGAAAATCGTAGCAGCCTTGCGGGAACAAGGGCAGGCGGTGCACATTGTGGCCAAGAC